TAGTTTGATCGCTTTAAATACTGATATAGACTTTCTATATAAGTTTGATTACTTAAATACTCGAAAATCGAAAAGTATATATACATACATTAGATACAATTAATTTATGTGAGTTAAATTCACTTGTTTAAGTCTCCCTGCAGACGGAAAAAGAATCCAATTCTGTCCATTTCTGTAGCGACTCTATCCTAAACGAATATTATGTGATTACTACCGCTGACTGCGTCACAACGTAATTAATTTTGACATAACATTTGAAGTAATAATATCACGTATAAAATATCTTAACTGTGTATTTCAAATTAATGCATTATTAATTTTAATTCATACTTATAGATATCCTCATAACAAAACACTTGAGAACTTCAAAATTGTCGATGGTACCATAAATTTGGACCGCCCAGGCAAATTGCATGCAATTAAACATATAATTATTCATGAAGAATATGATGGACCTATTTGGTTGTCCAATAATATTGCACTGATCAAAGTAAATTATTAAAACTATATCAATAATTAATAATTAATTTAAAGTATATCAATTTTTAAAAAATTCTAATATCGTTTCTCATCGTTGATTCGCTTTTTCTTTCTAGGTGTCCACTCCGTTTGAACTATCGCATGACATTGGATTCGTAACTTTGCCCAAACAAGACGAAATCGTCCAGCAAGGTACTGCGGCAAGAATTTTTGGATTCAAAACATTACCGGTAAATGCAGTATCGATTTTATAATTTTTAGAAATATTTAGTAGTGCTCTATTTAATTTAATTAATTTGTGCTTGTACATAAATTACAGCCACACCGAATCTTAAAATAGACTAATATAACCATTGATCAAGAATGTTGCAACAAGCACATGATCAGTGAGTACAACAACGATATTATTTATGCTCACGATCCAAGGCATGACATAAGACTTTGCAGTGTAAGTATAGAAGACATTGATTTATTATTTGTTTTCTATATAATCCTTAGTAACTATTAACTTAAATAATAATTAATCCTTAGCAAACATTTTATACAACAAGTAAATATAATTCAAAAGAGTTACATAATTAAAAAATAGTTAATCAATACTCTTTACAAAATAAACATATACATGATAGACAAAAAATTAAAAAAAAAGAGCAACAGTTATATCACTTTACAAGCATTGAGAGATTTTCATTTCGTGGATGCGTGTCGTTAAGACAAAATATAAATTAAAATGAAACCACTAATTTTCTTTCGCAAAGTGGACTTTTGGGCGGGCCTTTAATTGATAATGAAAAACTTGGCTATATTAAGAAGAAACTACTACAATGCTTACTATCCGATTCTGCACGTTCGCGTATCTTCGTATATCAACTGGATCGAGAAGAATATGAAAAGTGTAAAATGAAACTGATATTCATACAGATTGACGATTGAGACAATGTTCAAACACAATTTATATTTATTTTCTAAATATAATTAGAAAGTTATATATAATAAATTATATTTATATAAAATAATATAATATAATATATATATATATATATATATATATATATATATATAAAATCCCAGAAGTAGTAAAAATCTACAACATTTAAAATTATAAAATGTAAAACACTAAAAAAATTAATTAATTTGATTTACTTTTAGATTTTAGATTGAACATATAATTTCTGTAAAAAGATAATTTTATAAAAATAAGAATGGAATATGGAAGATAATCTTGCATCTTAAACACTTAACGTGACAGATTATTCTAAATTTCGAAAGAAGGATTTCCTTATTCTTCATATTCCCTTCGATAAACTTTGTAACTCGTGTTTTCGCTTACTATATCCCTTGACACTATATATAACTTAAAAATTTCAGCGCAAGTTTCTACGGTCTTGTTTGCTTTGAATTTTCCTAAGTGTATTATGTAAAGATATATTAATGTTGAATATGTCAATTCATAATTGTTCCAATTGATCAACTCTATTTTTCTTGATTATATACATCATTCTAGAAGATATAATTCTGATATTTCATATTTTTTTTTACAATACGATTTTTCTTGCTAAAAAATAATTAAATTTTAGAAATGATATAAAATATCGAAAAATAATATTATATTGTATATCAAATAATCTTATTTCTATCTTCTACTACACCTCACACATAATTATGTTTTATGATTAGAAAGAATTAATATAGGAATCTTTATTGATAATTAAAAATAGCATATGTCTAATTATCACTTGTCGAACATTCATATACATTCTTATTTTCTTTGTATTGTTTATCACTACTGATAAATCTATATAGTTTAAAAAAATTTTGAGTATTTCCAAGTTCATATACAATACATTAACGAATCGGATGTTGAATTGCACAAATGAGTCAGACTATTTCGCTACCTGCATGATCAATGAAAAGCTCTGAATGGGGTCGTCGGACGCAGGTGAGTCCTGGAACAGCGGTTCTCAATATCTCTTCTCTGGTCGGTAAGATCGATCGACCTTTTGCCTCTTACTACACTCAAAGATATCACTCTTACAAAATCTTCAGATCAAGTCAACAATTGTAAAGCTGTCAGACGCATCGTTACGTCTCACGCAAGCAGTTCTGATAGCTTGTGTGCTTTCAGTGATTGGAATTCGTATTTTTAAAAATCTGTTTATCGATAAAATATATATTGCATTCTAAAATTCAAAAAATCTCGACATAAAAATCTTCCTTTACTTATAGCAGTATAATTATTTGTGCATTCGATAGTTTGATTTAAACCAGCGTAAGCCAGACTGCATTCCATTAGGTAGGGAGAATCGATCGGTCCCTACCTTGGAATTCAAGCATTTCGTTCTTGCTGCTATCTGTCAAGATTTCTTGATAAAGAAGGATAGCGCTTCTAGAACATCCAAATTCAGCGACGACATTGCAAAGCTGTTTAGTGGAATAAAATATAACAAATTCTAAGAACTAGGTAAACTTTCATCTTTCATCTTCTTCAAATTCGAATATTACATACAGCTCCTTATAAAATTTGCTTCAAAATCAAATTTACTCTCTTATCGCTAATCTTTCAACGTAACGTTGCACACATTAAATTCTACTTATTTCTTTATTATCAAATAATAATAAGCATTATCTTTTTCCTTACCAAAGATCGTAAAATAATACACTTATACAAACATAAATATTGATGTTTTCAGAGATCAATAAGTGCACTTTGCATCATACAATACATCGCTATAATAGCATACGAGAAATTTCTGTATCTCGTCAGTTCTCATAAAACTGTGTTGTGCTTGCACATCGAAATTTCAGACAGATTATTAGATTCGTTCACTGAGCAGAAAAAAATTTGTAGATATTTTTATTTATATCATATATTGCGTACGTGCATTCGTGTGCTAGACTACGTTTGAAATATACGACCTAAACTATTTAAAAACTAAGCTTTAAAAAGCTAAACGAATTTTCCAACTGCAATTCCTTTTTGGAAAATTCAAAAACTGAATGTCGAACATTAGTCTTGTATGAGTAATAATGTGAATAAAAATTATATATATTTTTACGCATTAATATTCCTTATCCTTATATCATTGTGATCGCATATATCTCTACAATTTAAGGATAAATATGTAAGGAAATTAATATTTAAAAGATTCAATTTAGTGCTGCATTATTCAAGACTCTTCATTTAACTTGCAATATAAAAAAAAACATCTCTACAGCATTATCAGAACATATGAGACTTTCGAAGTATCTGGAACCAATCCAGCATCACCTTGGATGCAGTTTCGCATCTATCCTGGTATATCGATCGAAAGGTCACTCAACCAAGTGCCTTCGTAATGGGTTATAACACCACCATGGAGATACACATTGACTGACGGCTATTTTATCCTAATTAGATAAAAACACCTCACAACTGGTTTATCTTAACGCGATGGATGCGAAAATAACAGGCCATGAAAGTGATTTTAGAAGCACTATTTCACAGCAATCAAAATTTTATCTATATTTTGAAATAAAAATTTATCGTAACATTCGATCTATTATCCATTAGCTGTTATTATTAAACGGTGAATAAAATAATTTTCACAATATAGGAAAAATGCTTTTAGCTGTTGCGTGAAATTAATCTATAAAGAATGAGATTAACACGGATATATATCAATCATGAGATTAAGTATATCTATGTCGATATTATTTCTCTTTATGCACAATACACAATTCCAATAAATAAATCTTATCATTTTAACATTGAAGACTGTGTTACAAGTTTTATTTATATATAAAGTTATACATATAAGAAACATTTTTTATCCTTTCTATCTTCCCATTAAAATTATTTTCCCACGAAATACATAAAATAAATATAGTAGTATGTATTTTGTATTTTAATTATGCAAATCTGATAAGGTATAATCATGATAATTTGGTGGTAATCATAAAGTTTATATTTAATTTAAAAGTATCTTTGCAAAGAAAAGATATAATAACTATCAATTAATTAATCACTCCGAATTGTTCAGAGTTCAGACAAAGACAACATAACAGATAATTGACATTTTAATAGAAAACTTTATTCTATTTTAATTTTATTTCGCAATTCTTACAATTCTAGTAGTTTTAAGAAGAATTCATATGTATTTATATTCTATTTTAATTTTATTTCGCAATTCTTACAATTCTAGTAGTTTTAAGAAGAATTCATATGTATTTATATTCTATTTTAATTTTATTTCGCAATTCTTACAATTCTAGTAGTTTTAAGAAGAATTCATATGTATTTATATTTATCTGTTACTCGTATACAACTAAAAATACTGTATCAAAAATTTATATATATATATATATGTAAATTACGAATAATATACTGACAAGTAAAAAAAATTGACATATAAGTAATCGTACATAATCAATCGATTAATTTACTTATCTAATCTCCAATGTTCAGATACAAATTTTTGTTGATATATAGTATACATTGTTAGCATGCACATCAATTGTTATCAGATAAGTATATAAATTACCGTGATGTTCACATTCAATCAAACGTACGCTGTTGTCGTTCGAGATGTTGTTCGCAGCTTTATTTCTTCTTATTGTTAGCATAATTACCATCTCCCAATGTAAGTATAACATATATAACAAATATAGAATAACACATATGATATTTATATTATAAATTAAACACAACATATGTAGAAATAAAAATATATATCGTGTAATTTTTGATAAAATATTTATGTTACAATATTTATGACAAAATATTTATGTTACAATATTTATGACAAAATATTTTATGTTACACATATTTATGTTACATTTGTAATATACTTCTAATTTTAAGAAAGCATATTTTTTATTTATTATTTAATTTATACTAAATAATTAAAAATAAATTACCTATTAATTTTAATACAAATAAAATACAACACAAAGTAGTTAAAATATGATTGACAAAAATCAGAAATATATATATTTTCCATGCACACATGTAAAATTGGATAAAATTAATACATATATATATATATATATATATATATAAAATAAAAGACGATGAATACGAGTTAATAATGTTATCATAGTTACAGATTTTTAATGAAATTAAGTGTTATATTAACAACATTCCATTACATTAAAATATACAAGTAAACACAAAATATAAATTCTAGTAAAAACTTCAGCTTAAATAAGTTTAATATTGCCTCAATAGCTGCCGTATTGCAGTACGACTCACAGATCATAAATGGGGAAGATGTAGCGCCGGGTGAAATACCGTATCAGGTGAATTCAAGTGATTCATAAAATAACATTATCTTGCTATCCAAATAAGATTTCTTTCTTATATTGCAGATCTAGTTTCAATTCATTAAACCGACATAGACTTACTGACTTTTTCTATATTAAGTTTGATATTGCAGATCTAGTTTCAATTCATTAAACCGACATAGACTTACTGACTTTTTCTATATAAGTTTGACTATTTAAATATTCGAAGATCGAAAATTCTACATCAGAAAAAATTAATTAATTTTTTCTACTTATATAGGTCTCCCTGCAGAACAGAAAAACTTCCTCCCATTTTTGTGGCGGTTCTATCCTAAATGAATATTATGTGATTACTGCCGCTCACTGCGTCAAAAAGTAATTAATTTTGACATAAAATTTGAAAGTAATAATATCGCGTATAAAATATCATAACTTGTGTATTTCAAATTAATGCATTAATAATTTTATATTTCAATTAATACTTATATTATTTTTATAGCCGAATACCTGCGGACATCACAATCGTCGTCGGCACCGTAAATTTGAACCGCTCAGGCGTATCGCGTATAATTAGACAGATAATTTCCCATGAAAAATATGATCCTGATAATTCATGGCTTAACGACATTGCATTGATCCAGGTAAATTCTTTTAAATTGTAGTTTAATCAACTGTTTTTTTTTATTTTTATATCATCGTTGACGCACTTTTTCTTTTTTTTTAGGTGTTCACTCCGTTTAAACCATCAAGTTACATTGGATTCGTAACTTTACCCAAACAAGACGAAATTGTTCAGCAAGGTACTGCGGCAAGAGTTTCCGGATTCGGAAGATTATCGGTAAATGCAGGATCGATTTTGCTTACAATTTTAGAAATATTTACCGAAATTAATGCAGCATAGTATAGAGTGTATAATTTTATCACTCTATTTTTCTTGTATAAATTATAGGAAGACGGACCCGGATCCAAAATCTTACAACGGGCTACTATTTACATAGTCGATCAAGAATACTGCAAGAATATGTACAACAAGATTCTATATAATATCTACGATAGTCAAATTTGTGCCAACAATCCTAATATCTCCAAAGGATCTTGCAAAGTAAGTTGTGTAGAAGACATTTGAGTTATTATTTTGTGTTTTTATATAATATAATCCTTAGTAATTAATTAATAATTTATTTAGATAATCAAATCTTTATTAAACATACATATAAAAAAATATGTAGAATTTAAAAAACTTTAACAATTATAAAACATATAGTTAATTATTACTCTTTACAAATAAATTTATAATACATGATAGACAAAGAATAAAAAAAAAGCAACAGTTGTGTGCAAAAGAGCTGTATCATTTTACAAGAGTTAAGCGACTTTAAATATTTCATGCATGCGCAAATCGTTTAAAAAAAACTAGAAACACTTTAATCCTCTTTTGCAGGGTGATTCGGGTGGCCCTTTGATTGCTAATGAAAAACTTGTCGGGCTTGTATCATGGGCAAAAGGCTGCTCCCTTACTGACTATCCGACTGTGTACACCCGCATACCTTCGTACATCGATTGGATTGAGAAAAATGCCGTATAAATATAGTATTTATACAGATTAACGATTGCAGGAAAATCAATAACACTTTAGATTATATTTATTGTTTCATTTTATTATATCGCGCTATTATTGTATCGTCAATAATAGTTATTTTGTTCTATGGATAAAAGTGTTATTCTTGACGTTTGTCAATCTTGCTATGTCTTGCTTGGCTAATTGCTAATATAATAAAATTTATCATAAATGCAGAAAATGATTGTGTTATAATTATAGTACTTTATAAATAAGAAAATTGTAATATAAATACATACGTATATACGTACATATAACTATATTGTTGTACTAGTTGCAGATAAACATTATTCGTAATTCAAAGTTTGCAATAATCGTATCCAAATTATTTCTCATTTATATGTCAATATATATTATAGTGTTAATATTATATATTTAATATATATTTTAAATAATTGAAATAAAATAATTAGAATTTTTTAATAAATTATTCATTAAATAATAAATTATATTTATAAATAATAAATAATAAATATAGAATATCTTAGAATTAGCGAAAAGACTGCAACATTTATATTATAAAATTTAAATAAGCTGAAAATAATTTGATTTGTCTTTAGATCGTCGTAAATTCAATTTTTATAAATTATGTTTATATAGATAAAGTCCATACAATTTGATATATAATAATTAAATTATTTAATCATTAGTTTTTATAAATAATTAATTTTTTAATTGAAACTATTATCTGAGAGATAAAAAATATAAGAACGGCAAGATATCTTATATCTTAATAAGAAATTTTCATGTTATCAAAAATCAGATGGCAAAGAGAATATATATTGAAGCTATATATATAGAGTATGTATGTGTGAGAAAATACTTCATTGTTATTAATATTATTTTCTATTATCTAAATAAATAACAAACTAATGCTTTATACTTGTTTTATAATAGTACGGTATTAATCGGTGAATTCGAAAGATTAAAATAGTTGATAATTTTTAAAGTTTATAATTTTCATTGCACACATACACACACAAACACACACACACAACAAATGTGAAAAAAATTATTACATATTTAAAATAAATTTTAACTTAAAAGCGCGAATTATTTCTACTCAAATATTTTTTCATTTTATGTTATTAATTATAAAAAATTGTATTAATATTTATTTTACAAAATAATAACGTAAATTTTATGTAAAATTTTTTCTTTATTTTATAAAATTTATTAAGTTTATTAAATTAAAACCATGCTTTTTTATTTTAAAATATATATCACACAGAAGTATGATTCGCTCACTTGCGTAAAACTCAACGTTTTAGTTATTTCTATTATTACAAAATGTGACACAAATTGTGACACAAATTTTTAAATTCTGATGTAAGATAAGATTACGAGACACTGTTTTTTGAGGATAGAAAAAAAAAACGGAGAAGGAAATGAACACATATCGTATCAAAGTCGTACGAACAAACTTACGAACGCGCGATGTTGAGCATTAATTAACGACGTATGTACAATCGCAAAAACAGATCGAAGACTTTACACAAACTGACAATCAATATTCTTTTATCGCAGCAAGTCATGCGCGTAACGTCGTACATATAGCTGCTACGATTATTATTTTTCCCGAACGATAACGAGAACAAGAAAGAAGAAAACTCCACGCGCTCGTTGAACCATTTCTGACAGTCGCTCGAGAGCGAGGGTATTGTCAAAGTTCAATGTACCCCGATAAATCGTGCAATTGTTAAGAAAATTACAGAATAATGCGTAGTGAATCTATCACATATGGTTCGCGACATTCTGATAAGCGTATCTTTCGAATTGCACTGTTATTGCGACGTGATTATTGTGACCTGAATTAAATATAGATTCGCAATAAATATATTCTACATTATAAGTAAATTGTTAAAATGTAGAAATAAAATTTAATGAAATTAAATTAGTTAAAATAGATGATTATTATCGAAAATATAAAGTTTGTGGCTAAAAATTTTTCTCTATATATACACGTACACATCTACTCAAAACGATATTTGTATTATTAGTGAGCAAGGATTATTAGCAAAAGTGTAAAACATATTTTAACATACATATTATAAAAAATGCGGTAATTCTTTGCAACTTGAAGATAATCGCGTAGTATCCATAGCAAAAATTCTATACGTTTTTTGTCACAGAAATAATTACTCGGAAAATACGTACTTTATACCACTTTTCACAAAACTCTTTCACAAAAGCACTTGCTTTTTGTTTGAAAATCTTGGCGATTTTACGCGTGGAAGGAAAAACGTGTTCTCGGATTTCCCTGGAATGCGTTAGCAAGAAAGGTTTCGTTGTTCTCGGACAACCTTTGATCCTTTTATTCCATTTACAGTTTTGCGACAACCGATATTCCAGGAGAGACTCTTGAATAATGCATGCGAAGACAAACTTTGTCGACGTAAGGAAATAAATCCCTCTATGTATGAACAATATGCATTGGCAATGTGTTCCTATGAGCGTATTTGCGAAATTGCGAAGATTTATATGCACAGTCTAAAAATATCGCAACACACAAATATAATTTCTTCTATATATCTTATTTTATATGTAACTAGCTGTTAAAATAAGAACACTTATCGATAACACTACTATTAAATGATTTCCGTAAATATTGAACGGTGCTATAACACTCTATATCAGATAAGCTGATCTACATTAAACCTTGTTATCTATATAAGTTATTTAAGTTATATGCTGAGTGATTAAAAGAAAAATTTGTAGTTCTTTATTCATATCATAATATTTTAAGCACACTTCGCTCGAATAATTTTCGAAAATCATTTTTTTATTGCATCAAGTATTTTTATCGAACGATAGAGTGGCTATTATCAATAAAGTTGGTAAACGATATTATATTTATATTCGTATAATACATCACATAAATATATTTATATACATATTATTATCTGATATCTTTATCGTTGCATATAGATTTTACATAATAAACAATATTAATAATAATTACATAATAATAAATAATAATAAAACATATTAAACAATGAAAAATAATATTTTTAATCCGACAACAATATCATACAATTAAATTATAAGCAAAAACGATAAAATGTTCAAAGATAAAATTTTGTAATCTATCCTATTTGATCACGTAATTTATTCCTTCGTCAGAAAAGACAGAACACGAATAACTGACGGTTAGAAATTCCACGAATGATGTTCATCATGTTATGCATTCGTTTGAAAGTTAAAAACAGTTGTAAATTTATCCCATCAATTGTAAATTTATCCAAAGCTATCGCAAAGTTTGGCAAAGGCTAGGTGAACACGATCGAGAGTTTCCGCACGTAAAACATCGGTGATCTCGCGAATCTTTGATCATCCGTATACGCGGCCGATTACGCGGTCAGAGCTCGGGGTCGTTGGTCGCAGGTGAATCCTGAAATACTGATACCCTGTAGCCGTCCTAGACCAACGATCGATCGTCTCCCACCTTTATCCGTTCGACAGTCCGTCAGGATTTCCTGATAAAACACGATCAATTGCCAAGAAATGATCAAAGTTTCTTATCCCTCGCGAGACTTCTTATTGAAATTGGCGCTACGAGCGTGGAACTTTTAATAGGAAGCAATTAAAGTTTTCAACGCACCATAATCACCAAGATAAATATTCTGAAATGTCAGTGTTTTTGAGATCATTTTTTCTTAATACAATACACAGATTAATCTTTACGTGAAAATATATTGGAAAGTAGAAATGTCAATAGATTTATATTTAAAGTTATTTCTTATATATTAAGTTATTCGATATTTAATTTATATGTAATCCAATGTAGTATTACGTGCGATGATACATTAATGAAATAAAATTACTATTAAGTTGAGAATACATCGGCAAATATTGATACTATTATAGACCTCATTCTAAACATAAATTGTTTGCGAACAAATTATAAAGAGCGATAATTCTAATCAATTAGATAATTAGATTATTTCCACGAAGAATATTGTTTATCCGAACTAGAAAGCATCAGTTTTATTATATGTTTCATTAAATGATAAGTCATAGAAAATGCAAAAATGAAACAATGTTATTATCATATCAGTCGAAGAATCACGATGTTCTATCACATCAATGAAAATACAAGATTCATCAGGCAAGATTAAGAGATACGGAAAAACCCAAAGCCTCATATATCAGTCAATGAGACAAATGTTAACAAAAAAGATTATTACTATAATCGAACAATATAGGATTGCATAATTAAAAATATTGTAATATAATCTGTTATACATTAAACCTATATAACTTTTCTAAATCAATTCTGTGTGCTAGATTGTATTTAATCTAGATAATTATATTTAAGAAACGTTCTTCTTATATGCTTTAATTATAAGAAGCTAAAAGTTGCACAATGATAACTGAAATAGATATAATTAATTATTAATTTTTTAATACAAATTTCTTTCTCAGAAAATATAAAATAAGATCGGCAAAAAGAAAAAAAACGATTTGTGTGATCTTAAATCTCAGTACCGCAATATGACATTTTTTATCAAATCATCGGATTGCGATCAATCGCGATATAACATTTCCAATGTACTTCGTAATCAATCTATCTAATCTATATTGCACAAGAAAAAAGCTCGTCAATCATTGGACTACTTGTACGGAAGTGGATTGGGGCAGGTATATATAAATTCGCAGTGTCGACATGATTACAATACAGACTACGGTCAACAATCAAACGATGGCGTTAACGATCTTGTGTCTCCTCGGCCTATTGGCGTTCTCTCAAGGTGAGTGATGATTCTCTCGAGCAAACCGAAAACTATTCATTTAAATGAATACAAATTGATATACTCCCCTTAGAAATACTTTAGCAAGAGTAATTTATTGTGACATAGTATTCGACTAAATGACTTAATTTCATTAAACGGCTAACATTTTCAATTCCATCATTACAAACTGTGAGAATTGTAAAACTGTATATATAATTCTCTTTATAAAAAAGAAATTTTATTAAAATATTAACATACAAAAATCTAAAAATTAGTCTCTATTATATGTGTGTACATATATAAAAAATAGACTATTATTTAATATAATTTTAATTTTGTCAAAAAATTACAAATTTTTATTTTGTCTAATAATTTTGTTGTAAAATATTTAATTTGCATTTATATAACAATAACTTTGTTATTGTAGCTGGAATTTTGAAATTTGATCCCAGGATCGTGAATGGAGAAGATGCTAAACCAGGCGAAATTCCATATCAGGTACATATTACCAACAAAAAAAATGTATATATCGTTATAAAAATTAATAAATAAAGACATAATTATTTAAATTTGCGCTTCATAATTTATAAAAATATTTTTATTATAGTTAAAAGCACGGATAAAAATAAATAAATGCATATATATTAGAGTGCTTATTATTTTTACAGGTTTCTCTTCAAGACCCAAGTGGTTTCCACTTCTGTGGTGGTTCAGTTCTGAATGAAAACTACGTTATCACAGCAGCTCACTGTGTTGAGGGGTAATTTTATTACAAAATCCTTTCACAGTATACTAATTAAATATAGTGTTAAATTATAATAATATTATATGAGCCGTGAATACATAATCAAAACATATTGGTTTTCCCCTCTGCTTATATTTACGTAAATATTGTTTTGCCAATATAAAAAATATATAACACACTTATTAGAAAAGATTTTTTTTTTTAAATAGATAATTTAATAATTAAATTTTTATGTTAAATATAGCTCAAAACCTTCGGCTGTAAGAGTCATTGCTGCCACCACCAATCTGGATCAGCCACAAGTGACGAATGAAGTTGAAACAATCCGCGTGCACGAGAAATATGACTCTTCTAATTCTTGGATTAATGATGTTGCTCTATTAAAGGTAAATGAGATTTATTACAAATTTTTGTTCTGTGCGCAAGAGAATCAAAGTCATCTTTTCAGCATTTTCTCTAATCAGTAATGCTTAAGTTAAAATGATCTTTCAGGTGAAAAACCCCTTCAAAACATCTGCAGTTCTCCAATACGTTCCTCTGCCACCACCAGACCAAGTCGTTAATGCCAACGATGTTGCTGTTGTATCAGGATGGGGCAGACTTTGGGTGAGTTTCCTACTTTCTCAAATATATATCATTCGATCTCTATCTTTTATATAGAAACAATGTGAAAGAGCCTTACAATTATATTTATTTATATTTATTATTTAATGTAAAAAATAAAACGAATTCAGTACACTGAAAGCACAACAGTTATAAATATTGCTATAAAATCGCAGCAAGGCGGACCAACCACTACTAAACTACAACGAGTCAACATTGTGATTGCTGATCAAAACTACTGCAAAAATGTATACAACGACATGGGATACAACGTCTATGCCACGCAAGTTTGCGCGTACGATCCGCAAGTGGAGAAAGGATCTTGCCACGTAAGTTCTTTTTAAAATTGCAATTCTTATTCTAGCCACATTCATCTATACACTCATTTAATGTCTCCTCATAATAATGTACTATATAAGCACAATCTCTTCGAATATAATTTTAATGAAAATCAAAAGATTTGAAAAACACAAAACAATATTATGAAAATATTCAATAATAATATTGAAAATTTTAAATGGCTCTTCCAGGGTGACTCTGGTGGTCCATTGACCGTCAATGGAAAACTCACTGGATTGGTGTCCTGGGCGAACGGTTGCGCCAGTACCTCCTACCCGACTGTTTACACACGTGTCAGCTCTTATATTGATTGGATTAAAGCTAATGCGGTCTAAATCAATTCTGTTCAATTCTACGATTCGTTCGCTGACGTTTTATGAAATTCGTTAACGATCGATTGTTGAAATCGAAAAAAGAAGATTCTTTTCTAATGTATATACAGATCAGATGTGATACCGATATGACATGGGGTTGCACAAAAAGTATATCCTCAAAATTTGTACACATTCTCGAAAAAATAAATATATAGTTTATGTATATATGCGTATATATAAAAAAGAAGATCGTTCATACATTTAGTATCGAAAAGCCACAAGGAAAAATTATAGCACGACAAGTGCTATTTATCGCTTATCACGAATCAAATCCAGAGGGATTTCGCTATAGCATTATTGAATCTAGTACAAGAGATTGGCTAGAACTCTCGGCGAAATCAATACACCGTGACTGCGCAACGCTCACGTGTTGCTCTTATTTCCGGTGATACTTGAAGGAACGAAAACGATCCATGCCGGCCATTTCAATCGTAATTGACATAATCATGATTGCTTATCGCTCAAAATGTGATTCTAAATAAAAATTATTCGTTAATTATATCATTAATAACACCATAAATTTATTCTCATCATTTCCTATATAATTTTTAGAAAATACTACCAACTTACAAAAAATAAACACATCGATTTGTTCAGAAAATAGCTACATATCATATCTTCAGGATTTATGGACAAAGAAAAAATATTGTAAAGAGAAATTTTTCGAGTTACGATGAAAAAAAAACGACATAAAAATATAGATACATATTTTTGTTCTGGAAAGAATAATAATAAACATTAAAAATTATCGAATAAGAATAAGTTGAAACATAATTACAATATGGTATATAGGACAGCTACTTCTTGACGACAGAAAAGCACGAGTACGGATTGTACCGAATTCTATTCCGCGCCACCCGTATTTACATTGCTAATGAAATTTCATTTCTGCTTTTGCCATTCTTCCACGAGAAGCGTGTGATAGACTCTTACGTTGCTCGTCAGTTTTGTTTTGCCCTTTTGCATGATTTTATTCGGAGTATAAAAGGACCTTGTAGTTGCTCATTTCCGATGGAAGTGTTATTATTAATTCACTACACATCTCAGAAAGAGAATTTTCTCACTTTATTTTATTTAAAAAAAAACACTTGCGAAAACCTGATGGAAGTCATTTCCATCACTTGTGCAAAAACTTGACTAATTCATGATTTCGTGTGTGGTGAGTAGAATTACTGCAATAAAATTTTCATTCGTTGTTAAACTTTCAGAATTGATTTGCCGTTTGATTCATTTCCACCCCAAATACATAAATACATAATAGATCAACTGGATATCACTGGGTATCGCGTTTATAATTATTTCCGAACAATTGTTCAATCGCGTGTTAAATATAGTATAATAAAATCTATAATAGTATATATCGAGAAGCGACTATTGTCTGGCGAAATCATCTGAGCAAATACATAAATTTCTTTAGCTTCTAAATTTTATGAACTCACTTTTAAAAATTAATTTGTACAGTTATTACATTATATAACAAAATAAAAATAAAATTACAGCATTATTCTCTCTTATAACTGTGCCAGTATTTTATAATTATATTAGGCCAATCGCGTATTTATGCATGTAGCGCACAACTTGATATAGCGTGCATAACTTTGTAATATTCAAATATAAATATTTGCTAAAGTATCATGTTTAAAAAATTTGTACAAACATATAAAAAAATTAAAAATTACATTAAAAATTTAATATTCGCACAAATCATATAACGATATGATTATATAGATATCGTTAATTAAATCCTTTTTAAAAATTTGAAAAATTCAAGAGATGTACGTGTATTATTGTAGGAATTTATCAAACGTTCAATTTCATGCAATACAAAAAATATTTAATTTTTATAATATTTAACTAATTTAATTTTTATAATATTTAACTAATTTAACTCGATGTTCCTTTACGATTATGATTTTAATTAAATCATTTGTTTATATATCCGCACTCCAATATCAACGCTACCTAGGGAACACCCTTTCAAAAATATCGAGAAGTTTTTAAATATCTAAAAGTCTCGACGAAGCCACCGAAAAGCTTCAATGAGAAACGAAGCCCTTTTCTATTCGCGATCAATTCGACATCGGCGCGCTACCACCTCTTTCCTTCATCTTCTCTTCATTTCTTTCTCTCTAGCTTTCCCCTCTTATTCGTCTTATGATCTCCTTTCATTTCTTCTTTTGGATCCGCAAGTCGACTTTAAGGTCGTTGAAATAAGTCGAGAACTGTCGTCGCGACAATTCAATTTTATTAGAATTTAATTACGTACAAATTATTTTACTAATTATAAAATATCATGATTTTAATTCGATATACAAATAAGCAAATACTTTATAATAACAAGAAATAATGAAATTTTATAATGAGTAGATGTAAATCAAGGATTAAGACTCAGCCAAATGCGAGAAAATTATGTTCGATAATTGTCTGATAATTATATAATCACAGCACATAAATTTCATGAAAAGTTGTTTTAATTATAGTTTTATTAAATATCGATATAACTTGTACAGAATCAAAATAATTTCAAAGAAACATTTCCATAAAGTTCTCTAGTTCATTTCATATAACGATTATATCCGATCATTACAGTTTGAAATACTCAAATATTTAGATACTTTAGATATATCTGTACATGTTATTGCTATCATAGTTTTCATTGTTCCAAAACATTAAATGTATTGTGTGAAGAGGATATTTTTTGCTGCAAATCATTTGTAGAGATATATGAGATTCGTTTATAAAACAAATTAATGTGTATTTATTAAAAATCTAATAATAGAAAAATATATTATTATATAAATATCTAATTTTAATTGGTAAAAAATGATTTTTATAACACAAATGATTTTTTATACTAATAATAAACTTATAATAAATTATTGTATGCATACATTATATGTATATTAAAAATGTATGAATAAAACCATTCATAATAGCATGTGACTATTAATGTCTGACCAAAATTGACCTTTACTACTTTTATAACACTAAATATACGAGTTTTTGTTTCATCAAACATATCTGTGCTAAATTTTGATATAAAAAGCGTAATTATGCATATTTTTTGAAATCTACGACTAAAAAGACGAGAGATTCCGCAATTATCAATTAAATATAAAATTTATTTTGCTTTTGAGTGTGACCTGCAAATAACTAAGTCAAAGAAATACGAATCTATGAAGATATATAAAGATCTCGTATTTCCAATTTACAATCTAGCAAATGGCTGCGCGAATGAGTTTTAATGAATCCGAAATTATAAATTATAAACTCGAAACTTGCACCATGGTTTCAGATATACGAAATCGTGATACGGCAAACGCCTATTCAGTTCACCCACGCTTCGAATACTGCAGGGGTAATTTCATTCTACAATAATATGAAATAATTGCTTACGAACACGGCGCGAATTTAAAACATTATAAACTCTAAGCTTACATACATATATTGTATGTGTATACTAAGCTCTTCTCAATTCATTCTCACGCTAATGTAATTTCTCATTGTGTTTCCACTCGACAAAATACATTGAAACTTGGTTCTTCACAATAAAATAAAAAAAAAATATCAGAAAAGTGCCACCCGCGTATTCACAATTACGAATCATATACAGCTTCGAATATTTTCTATTTAAATATTCTTTTTAAAAATTCTTGAGAGTATCTCACCCAATATAGAACAGCACGTGCAACGCATAGCAGTTATAAAATCTTTGGCATGAAGCCAGTAAAATCCTTCTTTTCTTTATATGCACAATAAAAAATATTAAATGTTATTAGTGCACACCTGGTAAAAGTTTTACCCAGCTAATAGAATTGAGTGTTTTATTTTCAATTTGATTATTAAATATCACGATAAATGTTTAAATGTTTTTATGATAGTAACTTGCAATTTGTACCGCAAGTTTGACAATGTTTATTTATGTTACTTTTCTACTGTTATATAACAATCATATCATTTCGATATCGTGAAAAATGGAGTCTTTATTCCGTACACGGTTTCTCATTCTACCAAATATCAAACTTTTAAAGAGTTTACCCGCACACGAAATATAGTACAATACTTTTCCTCAATTCTCTAGAGATTGCTGGACTTTGAAATGCTCTTGTGATGGGATATATATACACGAAAAATGGAATTAAAGTTATAATATGATGAATCATCTTATCAATCTCTACTTTCTTTTTGTTAAAGTTATATTCCATTTAAATAATAATATAGGTAAAAGCGATATATAAAAAATTCTGTGACTGTCATGATTTAATTATACCATAAAACTAAATCTCACTAATTTACGAGAGTAACATTGTGGAAAATATACATTTATATTAACACATTTTTTGATAAGGCAAGCGTATTAACTTGACAAAAAACTAAATAAAATTTGTATATTTATCCACTGTTATAATAAATAAATAAAAGTATATTATGAATATATTTTTTTACGTCATTTGATTTAACTTCTCTATTGGATGATATATTGGTATAATTCTCTAAAATATTGTCGGCAATATTTTATATGTAAATGAAAATACAATATGTCAATATGTCATAGCACCCACGTGCTAACACGTGTCGCGGCATACTCGCGATTTTTCCGAAAATATAATAAATAACTCCGAATATATTCCCAAACACTATTTCTCCATACTATCTCATACCTAATTAATATAAAAAAGGGCGAAAAAACTCGATGAAAATCACACATTGCGCGGATCCATCTAATTCGAAGAGAGATCTATCTAATGATATAGGAAACGAAAACTCACCTGCTTGTGGAGCGGCGTGACGCACTCGTCTTTGGTACGCTCGAAACGCTCGAACTTGAAACTGTTGCTGCGATAGAGTTCGTTGTCGCTCTGCTGCCTCCTGCAGAGCCGTCGTGTGAGCGCGCGCGGTCTACAGGGCGCACATTCGGCGGCGAGCTCCCAGTGCAGATGCAGCATCGCGAGCTCAGCGGTGCAGCGGGCCATCGCGCAGCCGGCGCGTCTCACACGGCACTTGACCCGCTTGATGCGGCCCTCGGACTGCGGTTTGTGACCGCACGGCTGAGTGCATTCGCTGCAGTCCGTGCACGTGCGACGCACGCGGTGCGTTTTGGCCGTGTGCGGACACGGCTTCGCCTCCTCGCCACACTCGCACTCGCACGGCGCCTCGCCGCCGCCTGCGTGCCCGCAGTTCGATCTCTCGTCGGTGCATTCGCACGGATGCTGCTGCAAATGCGTCGAGGAAACAGGAGAGGATGAGGATTGCGCGACTCGGCGACGAGTGCCGGCGCCGCAGCTTGTGTGCCGGCAGGAACGATCGGTGCACTCGGATCTGCGATAACAAATAATGTGTTTATGTTAGATGAAGAAGGCCAACACAAATTTAAATTATTCAGTTTTAAATATTAATAATAATATTGAATATAATAATAATAATATATAATATAATAACATATTATAATAAGATATAATAATAATATATTATAATATTAATATATTATTATAATATATTATAAATAATAATAATAAATATTAAAAGGGAAAAAAATAGATTTATTTTTCAATTCAAAATTACTCTTTGAAATTGAAGAGTGATTTCTCTTATTTGAAGTACGTAAATGTCCCCTTTCGAAACACGTCGTATTGATCTCTCAAGATTTATAAGCATACCTGTAGCAATTATGCAAATATCTATAGATATTACTGGAAACATCGATTTTTATATAGCAATTGTGAATATATTTTGCCCGAGATATCTGACAGTCGCAAGTTAAATCGGGAGAGTTCCTATCAACTATTGGAAACTTCATTTAGCGTATTATCGCACAATAATATCGTGGAATGGTGGAATTCAGTTCGGGGGGATTGTAAAGAAAAGAAGGGAAGAAAGGAGAATCAGGTCAGACCGAAAACGAGAACCGCGAGATGGTTTGCGAACAACTGTATCGCGATTAAATTTAGCCGCACGTAGATAATTAGATTGCAAGTGATAAATTGATTTCATTATAAATTGATTCAATAATTTAACAATTTTCCGCCTCGATAATGCTATATTTGTAATTTCTTGAGTTTCCTGTATGTTCCATGTTTCTCCGTTAACAATGTATGTAGGTATATATATGTCGAAAATTATCAACCGAAACAATGTATGCGTATAACGTATGCATTTTAATTATCACATTTTATTTATCTACGCACACTATAACATTTTTAAAAATGTATTAATTATATTCACAATAAAAAATATTGTTTTTTGCGATAATTATATATTAAGGCAAAATTATATAAGCTACGTGAAAAAATAAGATAATATGTATTTTGTAATTTAATAATAAGGGATTCATGATATTTGTAATTGTGAAGCTAGAAATTAAAATAAACCTACAATCGTGTATAATTTGCTGCTGCACGTGGTATGTCATATCTAGCATTTTTTCAAAGACAAAAACGTCATGCAAATTAAATTCTGAAATTCTTCGGCTAGACACTAAAATTTATTCTGCCGACATGAAAAAGCTTTTAAACATCGCATTTCACATTTAATCGTCAAAAAAACTCCCTCGTGTTAATCAAGAGAATGTAATCACTTCATTTGCTCCAGGAATGAGCAATTGCATCCACACCCTTAGGCAACAACGAAGAGATTAACTACGATAGCTACTCATCTAAAATCTGCTTACGATTAGCACAAGCATCAACAACACATTGGCTGATGATCCTTTCAACCCTTTCAACCCTTTTAACCGCGACCTTCTAGAACGCACAGCTTTACGTGATCAGCTGCCAACTACCACCATCAAATTAAACGATAATGCTTATAAAACAAGATTGCTATTATTAAAATGAAAGTAACAAAAAGCAAGGAATCCGCGATGACGAAGGAAATCCTGCTGTAACATCCTGCATGATAACATGACCGAATGGACGTAACTGTTGCTCGTTATGCTCACTCTTATCGATCGCACGAAAGAGTCCAAAATTTCGGAGCGGTTCATCAATAACTATCTTTTAAGGAAATTTATTCCACCCTACGTGACACAATGTCGCAACAATTTCCCCTCATGATCCATCACCGGAAGCTTAATGGTCAACAAGTGCTATCGATCGGATAAAGCGGTACCTTCTCACATTATCTCTCTTTCACTCTACACAGCAAGATAGCACAATATTTGGAACAGCAGTGTTTGACATCTACCTACCCCAATTTACAACCTACCCCAACGCAATAACAATTATGTCGTGGCATATTGCCTTCGTTCGCGAGAGATGACGCTGCCCGCAACAACAATAAATTTTCTACTATTACGTCAGAATCGGAAACGTTTCTTATTTACCTTCTAATCCTTCGCCCGGCCGACCCTCGTTGGTGCGGACAGGGTTGCGAGTCTGGCGGACAATCGCAGCTGGTGACGGCGGCAGTGGCGGAAGAAGCTCCTCCGGCTGGTCGCGTACGGCGGATTCTGATGAGGACCGGGTGCACCGGACACGGTTGTACCTGGCAACCGCAGACGATGGTCTGGGGCCCGCCGCCCCGGGACTTCCGGCCGCCTCCGCCGCGTTTCGCGCGTTGGTCCACGTGCAGCTGGCAGGGCTGCACGGGGCAACCGCAGCGGGCCGCGACGGCACTGCGACGCCCGGCACCTTGTACACGTCTCCACACCCGCTCCATTCAACGACCGGCGTGCGACTGACAATCGGCCACCCCCTACCCCACGTCGCCGTCACCCGCGACGACGGAGCGCGCGCGCGGAAGCCGCGCTTCGATCCTCTCCGCGTGACCTCGGCCGCGCTCGGCTGCCTGTCGCCTCTCCGGGGGATGAAATCCCCCTTTCGCGGCGACCGACCGAAATCTGCCGAGATGTGCGCGCCGGTCCACGATGCTGCCTCCCTCGCTGCCACGGCCGACGTTCCTTCCCTTTCTTCCATGAGCGGACAAATCCGGGCGTTTACCCGGAGTGAAAGGTCACAGCTGACTTCTTGGCGAGATCTCGCGCGAGATAACGCTTTGACATACGCACGGATTATGTTCTAATTTGTGTTTGCCTGCTTCGAGCTTAGACTAGAACGATTTTACGGTAATATGTTGATTGTTGAATGAGATAAGTGCCGCTCTATATTATTATTATTATGCTTATATTTCTTTTTAATGACACCCGAGATTGTTATACCGAAGATCTGCTTGTGTAAATATGTCTAAAATTGAAAATATTTTATTTACAGAAATGTATAATACTTATATAAATATGATTGTGTGCTATAATAACATGTATTCCAAAAAGTGATTAATTAATTCTTTGTTAATAATTGTAGAAAAAATTTGCGCCGTATATTCCTACAAAATTATTTCAACTACTTATAATTAGGTTGACCGCGTATTTAAGACCGATGCAGTAAATATCTGCTGTAAAATTCGTGGTATATTTTTAAGGTCCATGCATACAAATGCGTGACCAGAAGGCATCTTTTGCATTAATCTAAAAATAGCATAAATATCTGAATTAGACTATCGATCGTATTAAGAATATTCAAGGATAAATAATGAAACGGTGAGAAGATTGTATTAGCGTAAAATCACCTGTTTGCTTGATCGCCCAACGATCCGATGAAAATAGCGTAAGAATTCACGTCCGGATTAGACATCAATACTTTCGCGAATCGTTCGGGACGAATCCCGTAACGTTCGAGATTCGCATCCGAGAGAACAACTACAATAGATTCGTCGGAATCTTCTTTCGCCAAATTCGCAATCGCATGTTGCGTCGCTTCCAAGGTATTATCCCCCGACATGCAAAATTGTGAGTGAGCGTGCATCGTCTGAGAAAAAAATTTAATTACAGCTTAAATTAATTAAAGTGCGCACGTAATTTTTTTAGGAAGAAAAACGACATAAATAAATCTTGCCTTGATCACTTCCAGCCTTTGCTTATTGTCCGTGGGCGGTTGCGTGCGATCGACAAAGGTGATACGATAATCGTCGCCGGAGTGACCGACTATGTCGTATTGAAATTTTCCCTCGTAACCGCTGAAAGCCTCCATCGCCATGACGCAGGCCTCTAATTCACGATCCAGTCGACCGTCGTAGCCATTGAATCTGTACATACTGCCGGACACATCCGCGACAAGTTTCAATCGCTTCGGTTTCAATTGAGGAGCGCCAATCTCCGGCTCTTTCTCGGCCCTACGCCGATAAATTGTTCTCTCGCCCGTTAATCCCTCGATTAATTTCGTATCGTCCAGCTCGCCCGACGTCTGATGCCTGCACCATTGTCGCTCGTTGCTCTTGGCCTGCAGCGTACCTATAAATAGAAAGCACGTAACGTTCGAGAACAATGATGTCCTTAAAAGGATTCGGACTTGCGACTCTCACCTAATACGACTCTCAAGGCCTGCACCTGATGGCGAACAGCGTCGCTAAACTGACTGTACAGCTTATGGTCGTATTCGCTCATTTTTATATCCTTCAGTCGCTGCTTAAACGCGCGAAGGCCCATCTCGCGAGCAGCCTTCTTTATATGTTCCGGTACCGCGTTCTTCTCTTCGTCACTCAGCTGATGAACCGTGTGTCCGGCATCCAACCGATACGGTCCTCCTTTCCCGCCTAAACCCGCCGTATCCCGACCTATAGAAAAATATATGAAGATATATATACAGTTGATACAGACATTTAATACAGATGTATGATTTTTCTATAAACTTTTTCTCGTGTATTATTTTTAAATATTTATATGCGCACCTCCGGTTCCCCCGGCCCAAGTATTGCCACCCACATGTGGTTCATTATTTTGATCGACCCTGCCGTGCTTCGGCCCAACGACATCCTGCCCCGAATATCTCTCTTTGGTAATTTGCACTTTCTCCTCGTCTGCGCCTACCATTTTGCGCCAAGCACCCAACGACTTTTCTATATTCGTGATTGATGTCTCCCATAAGCGTACGCAGCCACCGGCATCTATTGTGACGAGACCTTCGTTCGACGTAAGTGACGCATAAAGCGGAAGATCCTTCGTATATAGCCATTGTGTCAATGGCGAGACGTTAACCGGTCTAGTAAAAGATTTAATGATTTTCTTAGTCGCGTCCGATCGGAAACAGATATATGAAAATAGCACAAAGGGAGGAGATATATTCTGTATTATATTTTTACATTATTTTTTTGCAACGTAAAACATGAAATGTGAAAGTTGGAAGATAAAAGCTTCGTGAAAACTTGCATTTGTTTGTTAGCACAATTAAATTTACTTACTCCGGAATAGGTATATATCGTAGTTTGTGATTTACTGTATCGACTATCTCTAAATAGGAAGAGATTCCTGTATGTTTTCTATCCTTCGGATAGACCTCATCGGGTACCTGACTGGGCGAGATCGTTCTTATCACTTGTCCGTTCTGCGTAATGATAGGCGTTATAAAGCTGCGCGTTCTTCTCTTTCTCGGCCAGAAATGCAGGTCGTTGGAGCTGTCCAAATCCGGAAAACCCGTCACGATGCCGGCGTACGTATTATCGGTCACTAACAGTCTGTTTGGAGAGTCTATCTTCTGTTGAAGAGCTTTGCTCAGTTCCGTTTTGTGCAGACCGTTTCTACCGCAATTTAAAACGCTACCAGTCTTGATCTCGGTGCTGTTGGATTCATCCAATTCGCGCAAAACGTTAGGACACGGTTCCGTGTCCGTGGATTTCATGAGAAGATATTTATTCTTCGACGTATCTTGAATTAACCATTTTCTATCAGACGCGAGTAGGATCGATTCGATGTTACACGGTAAATTCATCGAGTAAGCGCACATGTTCTGTAAATTGATAGCTTCGATTTTGTTGTGATTTTCCGTATACAAGACAATCAGATTATGCGACGACAATAAATCCGTTTTCATCTTCCACTGAGGGATCCTACTTTTGAAAGCGTTTGATATTCTATCGCTGGCAACATCCAAAAAGGATGAAGTTTGTAATTCTCGTACGGAACCCTCGTTTACGTTTACCATGAGTATGGAATTACTCTAAAAATAATCACACAAAAGTTGATAAAAATCCTACGACAAATATTTGTACATGTTAACGTATTACTTACGGTTTCTTCGTGCACTAAAACATCCCCAAGATTATCAACCGCGACATTATAAAACGGCATATTGCCTCGAGCGGGACTTATCAAGCCTTGTAATGACGTCTCGCGAATTTGTTCTGATTCCGGTGTCATGCTAAATATATTCAAAGGATTCGTCGTGAGAACGTGTATTTTGTCGTCCGTACCATCCCCTTTATTTCCGTTCGCAACCGCTAAAGCGGTCACCGTACTGTTCTCGCTAATGGGTATTGTCCAGTAACTTTGTAGTTCCGTGAACCAAGCTGATCTAGCTTCAACTCGGTCCAGAGTTCGATCGTTTTGCTCCGGGAATGTCGGTGACTTTAATTTAACGTATCTTTCCTGAACAGGTATATTTTCAAATGTGTTCGAAAAGTTCCAACTACCATGGATTTTCATCTCAGGTAAAGATATTCTACAATGGAAAAGAAGGAACAACAAAATTGTGTAAAAAAAAAAAATACATATGTTTCAATATCTTTTATATTTTTTCTCATAATTCTCCTCATATTTTTCTCGCATTCTCGTTTATTGTATGTATAAATTTGTACAATTGTATATTCGTTCTGTACCATAAAATAAAAAATAAATTACAAAATTTAATCAATTAATATTTTCCTAAAATTCTTGTTTACTTAATTAATACGTATTCTTTGAGAACCTAAAATCAATATGTAGAGATTATCTTACTCTTTAGCTAAGGCAATATTGGTTGAACTCGTTCCAACGGGAATCCCATGCTTATGAAGCACAGTTACCAAAGTTTCAAATACTTCCTGGCTGTATCGATCAAAGTCAAAGACGTTGCGTACTACAGTAGCTAACGATTCATTGGGGAATTTCTATAACATTATTGCGTAAGCAATTACATCGATGTATATATTATTATATTAAAAAAAAAAATATATATATATATATATATATTTAAAAAATATATAAAAATTTTTTAAATATATATATGTATATTTTTTAATGAAAAATCTTACTTTGTTAACTCACCTCTAAATGTTTAACTATATTAACCACTTCTCGAATTGAATAAGGATACGAGACTAGGCCTTGATCGGCCATACTTCTCAGTTCACCAAAAGCCTTCACTAGTTTATGTATTGTCTGCTTGTCTATATGTGGACCATATTGTCTCAGGAGCTGAATCTCGCTTTGTATACTCGGATTATCGACAGAATGCGTGCTGAATAGATCACCCAGAGCGCCGAAGAAGTCATTGCCCAAGAACGGGAAACCCGGTCTATTCGCCAGCACTATCATTCTAAAGTCCGGATGCATAGATATACTATTTGTACGGCCGGCATTGTCACTGGTACGTGGAACGATTCGCCTACCATCCGACAGAATCATCTCGCCCGATTCGACCAAGGTCTGAAAATGAGACAGGATCACGTCTCGGAACTCATTGACCGACAAAAGTGTGTATTGACGTAACTTAACATACTACGTGTCGTCGAGTACGTACTTTCAATATACACGTCACGTGCGTGGGCGCTTTGTCTGCCTCATCGATGACGAGAACGTGGCCTAGTTTAACCGCTTGCACGAGCGGGGAGTCTTCGTAAACAACTTTACCGTCTCGGACCATCGGTTGCAGGGTCAAAGTTTGCACGGTCGTGTCTCGATGCAGCTGTATATATTCGCGCGGTCGATTCAACAGCTGCAACAATCGGTCCACGATCTTATTCTTGCCCACACCTTGATTGCCGACCAGTAGAAGATTCTGACCCAGACTAAAGTCCTGAAGCAACCGTTCCAAGAGCGCGACGTGCTCCGGCACGTCGTAAAACAGGATGTCCGGTACTTTGCTCAGCATCGCGGTGCGATATCGGTCCATGGCAGTGTCCCCGATCTTCACGGTATCCTCCGTAACCGAGTACGCGACCTCCAAATCCGCGGTAGATTTCGGCGGAACGATTCTAAGTCGACGACAACAGTCTTCGAGAGCCTGTTTCGCGATCGCCGGCAG